TGTTTGAAAGCAACCGCCATTCCATAGCCCCTCTAGCTAGCCTATTCCAGTGTTCAGCATCTACAACTTGCTGTGCCCAACACTTGCTTATGAACAAAGATGATTTTTAATTAATTATGTTGCATTATGTAATTTCAAAACTATTATCTGGTTACTATGTAACCTTTTACATAGTTTCAGTGAGATCACACAGTACTGTGCATAACACCAATTTCTAAAATCAGGAAATTGCTACAGTGACATTTTAAAATTGAGTTTATTGTTTATGAAAGGACCCAGAACTGCAAACAAGTTATGACATACATGAGAGAGAATTTGTTTTTGGTACACAGCAGCCTTTGTCAAATTGACTATAAACTGAAAGAGAAAAATTCCTGCTACACATAATGCAATCTGCTAAAACTGCCAGTCTTCACTAGTATCATCTCCTACCTCCCTCACTTGTACCAGCACAACATCTGAAATGCACCAAGGTTTATAAAACATATCTACAGGACAAACATAATCTCTTCTCTGTGTATGTGTATTGTTCAAATACCAGGGGAGTTTCTACAGTAGTTTTGTGCTTAACAAGACACATAACTGAACTTCAAATCAATTTGGCCAAATGGCTTTGAAGTACACAGAGCTGAAAAATGAGTTTCCCCATACCTCCGTAAGTTATTATCTCTGTTCATGATTTTGACAGGACTGGTCCTCAGTTGTCTTTTTTCCAGCTCTCGTGAATCCATATCAACCAGATTACTAGGGATTCCCGAAGTCAATTCCAGGTGAAGGCACAGTGCTGACCAAACCTCCTCTATCCCATGCCAAAACTAAAGTACTTTATTTTCTCCCCTGTGTTTCTACTTCTTGATAGTTTCCCCCCCATCCCCCCAGATAAAAGAAAGTACACCTTTTTCAGCCAAGAGTCTTTGGCATAACAATGATGAAACTCTTAAGAGAAAACAGGTTATCATTCAAGTTTATTTCAAAGACAACTCTATATTCCCTACGTAGTTACAAGTTAAGAACTTCAAAAAAATCAATAGGAAAAACGAAAAGCCAATCTTCCATTTTTAAGCCTGACATGTTAGATGGAAAGTGGGGCAGGGAAGATGTGATAGTCATTCAAGGCAGCAAACAAACCTGTTTCAACATTCCCTCCAAGCTGTCAGACAAGGAGAAAGCTTTACAGTAAGCTCTGCTAAGAGGGAATTACAATAATTGAATCTTGTTGTCACAAGACCACATGGCTATTGTGAAGCACTGGATAAATAAGGGTGTAGCCTGTACATATTTTGCAACTGTGCAAGTGTATTTTCCCCCTATATCTGGCACATAGGCTTACCCTGGAAAAGGTGTGGTTGAAAGCGATGCAAAGTTGAAAGAATCTTATAGATCCACACAGATGTTAAGGATGTGAAGGAACAACGCTGTTGTACAGTCCTGGTAATGCAGTGGGAATGCAGACATATGCAGTCACAGTGCCAAGCTAGTGGCTATTAAATTATAAAGAGTAACAAAAGAAAACTGAAAAAATTCTAAGGCTTCTAATAAAAGGGGAAGAAAGTTCACGTAGCATTAATATTTGATATCCCTTAGGAATCGGAAAAACTTGTTTTAAAAAAAAATAGAACCAAGTTTTAAGAGTTAATAAGCTGAAATACTTATATACGTATCATGATTAAAAGGTGGCACATAAAACTACTTAAGAGTATGAACGAATGTTCCCTTGGGGCCCTGCCAAACATTCAAATTAAAGCTCGATAGAAACCAGTTAGAGGGTTGTTACATGTTTTCAAGCACAAACGTTATAGCTGGTTGGCTCTTTTTATAGCTGAACTGTAATTTTTATCGTGTGATAATTAGGTTGCATGTGTGGCCACTCTAAATTTATTGCGTGATTAACCAGTTATTTACCTAATCTATGTAACATATAGCAGGGGCCTTGGAGAGGCTTCAAAAGGAGAAGGGGAGCTGCTGCAGCTTTGAGCTGCTGCTCTGAGCTACTGCTCAGGACTAGGTAGAAGTTGTTGCACTGTAACTGTTACATGTGCATGAGTCTGAAGCTATACAAGTGTAGTTAAACCCTGCTTTTATCCAGGGTCAAAATAGGGATAATGTAGCTCACTTGAATTGCTAAGGTTGATGCACACGTAACAACTACAGTATCACAACTTCTGCAGGCTCCTGAGATGCAGATCCTCCCTTCCTGAAGCTGCTCCAAGTTTGTTTGTCCATACTTGAGATTATACAGCTAGACTACTGCCAGAGCGAACAGAGAAAAACTTTATCTGTGGATATCTGGCTGGGCTGAGATTTCTCATAATTGTTTCATATTTTACTACTGCTGTCAGTGATGTTCTGCCAATACTTTAATATGATGCATCCATATATTTTCCCCAATAGCCTGTGTAAATGATGTGTACCAACAGAATGTTTCCCAGTGACAGATAAAGCAGGTTTTATATTTTATTGATATTTTGATAAAATTAAGAGACAGGAAAGCAAATTATTCTTGCATTAGCCCCAAACAATCTGCAATCCCCATAAGCTGCTTGCAAAAATAAGGAGCTTCAAAAAATCCTCAAAAAACACTTCCTGCACATCTGTACATTACATATTTCCTTGTGCATACAATTTTCCCTTCTGCCATCCTAAGCAAAGTTTCTGAAGATACGCTAAACTCATCTAAGCTAAACCATCCCACCTTTCCATTTGACAACTGTTTCTTCCATCTGTTCTTTCCAGTGACAAATTTTTCCCCTCAAAGAGAAATCAACTATGTTACCTCCTCTAACATTTTTCTGTGGACTAGGTGAAGTGGTACTCACCTAGCTCAAAGGTGCCAGTGCTGTCACCTCGCACTGACATCAACAGGAGATATCTTCAGCTTGTCAGAGAAGATGCATGACTCCCCACAAAATTAGGTCACAAGCACACCTCTGATATACTCAACTTCAGGCAACCAAATGAAAAAAAATTCATTTAGTTTCTGATTAAAGTATTTGTGTAGGTCAGTATAATACTTTGCTCTCTATTAACCAGGGCAACAAGTCAAACCAGATTCACCCTATCCATGTGCTAGTCCTAATTGTTTCACACTGGGGTAATGGCAGGAATTGGCTGCTTCCTTTCTCTGTTTTATCAAAATAGTGACAAAACCTGAAACGCACTCTAAACTCAATGTAAAAGCCAGTTATTAAAACATTTAGAAGTTATGGACAAGGGGCTTCTGAAGCAGCTCTGGGAACTGCAGGCTCCTGCCCTGAGGTTTCAGTTGAAAGTAGGCCTGCCAAGTGTGGGCAAGGCTGCAGTAGAAGGGTGGCAGGGTATCCCAGCTAGGGCAACAGGGATCCAACAGGAAAAATTCCCAATCAAGGTTGAGGTCCCTGACCCAGCACATCTTCTCTATCCCTTACTATGTGGCCAAGGGGAGAGTGATCTGCCGAGCCAATTTCCTGC